CGAAACCCGGTTTCTAGCGTTGTAAGTCCGCAGACATACCGCTGTGCCACTGGGGGGCTTTTATAAGTACAATAAGCTTTAGTTTTGCTCAGCCTATACTGTGAAATAGTCATTGTTAATATTCAGATATTTTAAAAGTGGTTTTAAACCGGCGATGTTTACGGCCGCCACCGTACTTAATGATAACGGTCGCTATAACAAGAAATTCACAAATATTGAAAAAAAACTATAGCCGGACTGAAAAACTTATCTTAAAATAATATATTTTAAAAAGTGTATTTCCTTAACTCGAATAACATTAACGAGATTGATAAACAAAAGCTTGTTAAAACGAACCAGTTTGGTCAGTCAGGTTTTAAGAAAACATTTTCCGAGTTGGTTATAACATACATGAAAGGAACACTGCTCCAGGACCTGATGGGCTTACTTATTGCCAATAAGGTCAAGGTCTTATTCTCACCACTTTATATATTGTTATCTTCCGTAATGGGTCGTGGAAGTTTCCTCTCTTTCTCCTTTTTACAAACCCACTAAACCACAACACAAGTTACTTCTTAGCGCTCAGCCTAACCAGTATTTCAGCCAAATATTTGAACGAATCTTGGCATCTGGAATTTTTCACTTTGTAGGTGATCATCCCCTTCTCCCCAGTTGATTGCTTTTCGTGCAGGACTTTCAACAAACAAGAGGGAATCCTCAATAGCCGCGGCACTTGAAAATATATTAGGCAGAATCAGAGTAAATTAATCTACGAGATCTTTTTCCCCTTTTTATTGGTTATATTTTTGTGCGCCAGCAATATCAAGCGTGGGGCGCACGTATACCCGATTTTATTTTATTACTCATCAGGATCTCTACTAGCCTACCCTCAAATTGAAATTCTTTTCGGCAGGATTAGAGTAAATTAATGTATGAGACCTTTGCATGAGCTAAAAGTTTGTACTTGAAACAAAAACAAACTCGCAGTCATTCTATAAGCCGCTATGCCACGGCTAAAAATCAACTTCTTAAACTATCCGATATTATTACCAACTATTTTAATACAGACAAACCTTCTTGCCTCCTCCTATTTGACTTAAAGCTTTTGATACTATCTGGCCTCGTGGCCCCGTTCTGGGACTTCATTCAATGCATCTTACTCTTGCCATATGTTCGATTAATTTCTTCCTTTCTCACCAATCGGTGGACAGTCATATCTACTGAGATTACCAATTCAAAACTCTTCATGTTTCTGCATGAGTCCCCCAAGGATCTATTTCTTCACCTCTTTTCTATATTTTGTATGTTGCAGATATACCTCAACCCTCTCCACATGTTTACTTATTTCAGTACGCTGACGACTCTACTTTATTAACTTGCTGTCCAACTATTTCTTTTATCAACAAGTTGAAGTTGACCGTTTCCTTCTTTGGTTTCGGTTATGGTGCCTTTCGCTAAATGTAAAAAAAACAAAAAACAATGCTATTCTCATTGGACCTACCAGAAAAAATTCAAACCTCGCCGTAATCCAAATTTCTTCATGCAACATTAAAATCGATAAGGTTCCGATTCAACTTTCTAATGCAGTTAAATATTTACATAATAAGTTCTTCATCTGGAAATCCAATCTAAATGCATTATAAGAAAAGCTAAAATTTATTAATTCCTACGATCATTGGGGTTTGAACCCATCTTCTCCTATATACTTACTAAACCTTTGTCCTACCCTTTCTCACTTATGAGCGCACAGCCTGTGTATCTACAAGGCCTACATTTTTGGGAAAAACTAATGATCACTAGACGATATCCCTTTCAAACAGTCTTTAGAATCATTTTTCCTAACCTCACTGAGGAAATGTATGACACAGTAAATATTCCTTCAACTGTAAGCTATCTAAAATATCTTCAAACCAAGTGTATGCATCCCTGCTTTAGAAATTCGAACATAATTATTAACGACAATTTAACTATCCAGGTGAATAATCTTCTGGCACTTATTCCAGCACTCTTCTTCTGCTGATACATCCACTTACGTTCAGTGATATGTTTATCTTCCATAAATCGTTTGTTGCAACTCCAGTCTCACCATGATAAATAGATAAATAAATATATGCAAATTTCGTGTTTTTATTTCGTATTCAACCATTCTCCACAACTTACACACCAAATATTTTTATCACTCGTCCACAAAAGAGGGTATCACCCTCTGATAACTTACCACACTTTTCTAGGGGATTTAATGAAATTATTCTGCAAAAATAATAACATAAATTAATTCTTTATCTATGTTTCATTATATAAAAAACTGGAATTTTTTACAACACCATTAATTGGGTTCTAGTTATGACGTTTAATGCCATCTATCTATGTTGTTATTTTTTCTAAGCTGCGTTGACAAATAGAAAATGGACAATTGTGCAGTCACGTAGCATGAAATGTGGATTATCTTTTACAAACCCTGAACAGTAGTTATTTTCAGGTTAAAGGTCACGGTCAACATGCCCATTATTACAGCTTCATTAGCTGGATCTAGGTAGGTGTTTTGATTATTAAATATATCTATAGGTCTTATGACAGTTTTAGAGGAAAAAGATAAATCACAGTCAACGCCATATTATCTCACAAGTCTATTGATTGTGTTACGAA